TTAAAGTATTCGATCATCACACCACGTACGTCACCTGAGCTATAGGGCCTGTCGTGATATTTGAATCGCTTATGTAGACTTCATAATTATGCGGCCTCTATATCTATGTATGTATGTATATCGTCATCTCGCACACCTCTTTACGAATCTTCTGAATTTGGCATGTACAAATTTGTAGCCTTCCAGACATTGATAGCGTAAACGAGGTGTCGTACGTCACCTCAAGATCGGGTGACAAGGGGCTGACCATACCCGAACCTAATTAATTGGGTCTGAGGTCACGTGACTATGACTTCACCAGACCTTGTCCTCCGTTTCCCGCTCATTGGACCAAAGCTTGCATGCTTGTGAATGTAGGTGTAAGTACAGCTGTACTGTAGTTTAAACCTAATTAACCCCTATACACTATAGAAAACCGAAAATTTATTTCTGGCAGAAAGCTAGAAATTTACCAAATTTATTGACATTGTTATAGCATATAGCCCTTGTGTCAGCCCTACTGAAAAGACCTGAAAAGTGGTTACTGGAGGGACAGGACTATCTGCGCTACATAGACACTGTTGTCAGCACTGCGCGCGCGCGCACGAACCTTCCCATCGGTGTTCGTGGATAGGTGCTTTTCTTGACTTGTGAAACAAGCGCGCCCGCAGCGGCGCGAAAGCACATGGTTAGGTGAAGGCTCTGGTTAGAGCAACACTTCAGGTAAAGTTTGTCCATTGTTAATATTGTATCTTGTAGGTTTATAACCTACCAGGACGCGCGCCGAGTTGGACTCGTCGACGGTCCTAATATTTGAAACAACTACCTTACTCGGGATTATTACGACGGGTTTATTAACGACCGGTTAAAATATGGTTCGGGAAAAATATGGCGAAATTGCTCAAAACCCACCACATTTTCCCGGTCGCCATTTTACCGGTGTCCAACCTTTCAATTTTAGATTCAAAAATTTTGTCTCAGATGTAAATTTCCTTATTAGAGATAAGCAAGTTTAGAAATTTTCGCATTGCTAAAACTTGTGAAACAATTAGTCGAATTATCAATAATTGTTGAAAGTTGACAGAAATAATGACTCGTGGTTAATCAAACTAGATGGAAAATAATTTTTAACATTTGAAGCGTAACAACCAGATCGATATTAAGATAAAGGGAGAGCTGTTTAGTCTTCCTATAAGTTGTAATCATCTTCGTTATCTTCATCTGGATCATCCCTTTCATCAGTTTTAATTAATTCAAGTTTTAATTTAACTGTTACTTTTACTTTGAGTCCTATTTCATTATGTAGAGATAGTCAATACCTAAGAAATTAAAAATTGGCCTATTTAAATCAAATTTGACAATAAGGATATATGACAAGAATTGGGCAAAAAGGTGAATTTTTTGCAATTTTAGCCAAATGAAGTCGAAAAACCTACAACAAGTGCCCCAATAGTCTTCTTTAGTGAATATAAGACAACGATTAAAATATGAGCACCCATACCCCTTGGGAACCCTAAAAGCTGAGTAGGCGGGTTTATTAACGACCGGTGAAAATGTGGTTCGGGAAAAATATGGCGAAATTACCCTAAACCCACCACTTTATCCCGGTCATAATAATCCCGAGTAAGGTATTTTACGGGTATCACCCGTTAATGATGTATCAGTACGTTGTGCCCCCGTTGTCATTTCACTCAGTATCAGGGCGAAAGTCACGCGATACAGCCGCGCACTCGTGCGTACGGTGTACGAGAACAGAGAAGGGGCCTTACGAAGAAAATATATGCTTTTAAAAAAAATATATATACTTTTTTTAAAAACATATGTTTTTTGGAACGTATATATTTGCGGAAAACATATATTTTTCGTAAGGCCCCTTCTCGAACATGGCGTGTACGAGAAGGTGCCTTGCAAGGCACCTTCTCGTACACGTGATGTTCGAGAAGGGGCCTTACCACTTACGAAAAATATATGTTTTTCCGCAGATGTTCAGGTAGAACCACCTTTACTACCTGTGGATGGGTTACAGCTACCTAGATGCAACATTGCTTTAGCTTAGAGCTATTCTTAATCTAACTAACTGTGAATTCTTGCAAATTGTTACAGCTATGGCGAGGAAATCCCTCCTCTTCTTTCCTCTGTCTCCTTGTATGGATATCACTTAGTGTATGTACTAAGAGCGTCAACTTGCGGGTGAACATTTTATGTCTCAAAACCCAACATATTATACATCATTGGAAAGGTCTCATTGAGTAGAGTCGTTTGGTACCAAGTTTTGGGCAAATGGCTGTTCCTAGCGAAAGTTATAGCCCGTCTAAGTCCAAAAATTATCACTTCAGAAAATTGGGCGGGGCATCGTGTTCTTAAACTTACGGCGGTCGCGCGCTACTGCAAGCGAGAGGGCTCTGGTTACTGTTAGAGCAATCACCCGTTAATGGTGATCTCAGATTTAAATTACAAATTAGCCGCGCGGCTGCTACTAAATCGTTGAATCTCTCGTCCGCGTCTAGATTATTTAAATTTTTTTGTGACAAGGCCCTGATTTGAATTGTAATTAACGGGTGATACTCGTAAAATATCTGTCCACAGGACCGTCGACGAGTCCAACTCGGCGCGCGTCCTGGTAGGTTGTAAACCTACAAAGTTGTAATACATCATGTTGTGACCCCCATTGTCGTTTCACTGAGTGGCTGGTTTTACTTGTATCCAGTATCGTGTCGAAAGCCACGATACAGCCGCGCACTCGTGCGCGGCAGGTCTACAACGTATTACAAGATCATATGAGGGTATGACATATATCATATATGAAAGTAATATAATAATATATAAATCAGTGTTTTTGGAGTTATGGACAACAAATTGCTACACGTTGCCATGTATACCTTCGGCCGCCGGGCGCGAAAATAGTTATACAGCGTGTACTGTGTCAAGCTTGACAGGTTGCAACCCCTATTCGCGCGCGAAAAGGGGTTGTGCAAAAGGAAAACTCATTTATTTCTCTGACAAAGATTTTCAAATCGTTTAGCATCGTCATTATTCACAATTCAATCAAATTTGGCGAACTATTAGTATTGGCTTCACAGATTGCTTCATTAATCAACAATTTAATTTTTTCACTTGGAGTAAAAGCAAACTTCAAGATAAATTTTCTCTGACAGCCCTATGTAAATATTAACATTTAACACTGTGCAAAGTGATGAAGCCTTCTGCTTTGCCACATGAAAAGTCAACATCTCAAATCGTTTTGATGATAATCAGCTTTCACTTCCAGTAAATCTAATTCTTAAAGTTAATCCTCACTCATAAAGATTAAAAATATTTAAGGGCTTTGACTTTTGGGCATGCACGTTGAAGAAATATTTCGCTTAACGAAACGAAAAATAGAAATCTTTGGCCTCGACAATTATAATGACCGTTCAATCTTTATCAATAAAAACACTTATAGTTAAATACGAACGAAAATTGGTTTATAACACTGATTACTAATTCATCTATATTAAAGCCATGATCATTCACCCTGTTTGAATGTCTGAGAAATGGTATAAATAAGAATTAATTTGTCCACTCTGTACATTAATGGTGGTCCATGGAATTGTTTCAAATTGGATAAGGGATAGTTTTCATACATCAATTTAAATCAATCAAGGTCGAAAAACAACCATACATTTTTTCATTTTTTTCGAGATCATGGAATTTCTTTCAAAACTCAAGAGCTATAACTTATAATTCAAACCATAAGTTACAAAAACCAGCTAAAAGTATTATTTTATTTACACAGCGACATCGACACCCTCAGAAAATATATTTTACAAGCTCCAAACAATAACATTCGGATATTTGTCTAATTTGCAGGTATCACTTTATCACTTATCACAGCTTATTTATGAAGTTTTTGCCAGCAATCAGCATGTTTTAATCGTGGCAAACTTTGGTGAACAATAAATACGATTAAAATCAATAACTAAAGCTTAAGCACAGTTGAATCTGTTTGCTCCAGTTGCCTAAAACGACATTAAGGTTAATCATTTTGATTTATAATCTTTAAAATAACGATCCGAAAATATGGACCGTTCTCATAGATCTATAGAAGACTGGTGAGGACTAAAAACCGATTACCCATATTATTACCAATATCACAATGCTGGCAAGCATTACCGTCGCCCTTATATTCACAATACTATTTACCCCCTATACTATTATATCCCCTTTATTGTTTTCCAGGCATTAAGACTTTTTCGAAAGTAGTTCAGCAGGTACATTTAAGTTCAAAACATTCTAATTCAATGTTAAAGATGACAGGAATAAGAAATAGTTATATGGAGGTTTTTAAGAAATTTGCGCAAAATACGCGCCAGCATGTTATACGAAATTAGGTAAAAAACCCAAAATCGCCATATTCAGGTGCCTTAAAAACCATGTTAAAATTGAGTTAGAGATCTGAAACTTTGCAGGGCGTCTAGACCTTGTCCAAGTCGACAGTAAAAAAAATTCATGTTTCAGGAGTATCGGGAAGTGGGTTTTCTGGAACCCCTGTTTTACAACAGATTGTCGTGAAGATATATAATAATATGTATAGACGCTTTTTGCAGTCAATTGTAGCCTACATTTAAGTGTCCGTAGATTCAAAAGTATAAAAGATACAGTCATTTCGAACCACAGGTTTTAAAGATAATCGTTTATACTTTACTTTACTTTATATTGAAAAATAATTTATCATCATCATCATCACTTGATGACGTCATCAATTTAAGTGTTTTTAAAACTTGATTTTTGACAAAACAACAACTTTTCAAATCGATTTTACACCATTAAAGAGTAATTTTATTCAAAATCTGAGGACATTTTCACCTTAGATAATTGTTCAAGCATTCTAAAAATCTACCGGAAAAGTTTCCTACCTTACTCCTTCATAAAGAATAAAGATATTTGCTATTGAAGTTAGTGCTTTTTTGAAGAATAATTTTATAAAAACACAAAAGTTGTGAATTAGTATTCTCTGGTGTTGGGCTATCCCTTGGGTTGTGGAGCTCAATTTTGCTTCTTAAAGGTGTAAATTGTGTTATAGGCTAGTTTTAAAGTTAAAAATCGAAAAGTTGCACACGTGGGGACACGCCCAAATTGATTTAAAATAGCTAAAATCACTAAAAATTTTGATTTTCACGATTTTTATCAACTTTGGAGTCCCGTTGTGATCCAAGTTCTTTTTGAAATCTTCTGAAACATTGCATGCTTATCAAACTATATATTAAATACCACTATGCAAAAATTTACGGTGATTCAATATTGTATGCGCACGCAACGTCCGCTCAAAGTTTGCACGTGCGAAAGGTGAGAATTTTGCTCATTCGTGATTTCGAATATATTCTGCTTTCCACGATATTTAAATGGCATTATCTATGAATTTAATGCCAACTTGAATGAGTAAAAAGTGCCATATTCAGTCGGTTATCGACAGATATACCTAACTAAACACAAGGAAACGTTTTCAAAGGCAGAATTTCGAAATCGTCAAAATTACCTCCTTGTTAATGAAGTTTCGACTAGCTGTGTAAATTATCCTGACATTATAATCAAAAAGAGATGATATTTGACCAAAACCCATAATCATGGGTAGAGTGTACCGCTGCCAGTGTCTCTCTTTTCCAAACAAAAGGAAATGATATTAATTTGAGGAACAGTCCGCTAATGCAAATTGATACCGAGAATGAAATCGGTCGCTCGCTTTTTCCATTCGATCACGGCTCACGAATTGTAATAAAGCTTATTGATTTGAAAAAGCGAGCGACCGATTTCATTCTCGGTATCAATTTGCATTAGCGGACTGTTCCTCAAATTAATATCATTTCCTTTTGTTTGGAAAAGAGAGACACTGGCAGCGGTACACTCTACCCATGATTATGGGTTTTGGTCAAATTATGTCTAATAAATTTAAAGCAAACTAGGCCCGTGCTGACACGAACTTTAATAAAAATTGGGATCCTTTAAAACTGGCATCCCAGTTTTAATAAAAACTCTCTTCTGTCATATATGTTTCTCTCAGATGATCTACAAATTGATAAATCGTGTCCACTAAATTGAGTAAGGCTCACATCACGGAACTTGATTTTCTTCTTCTCGGCTTTAGAGCCTCGACATCTCGGCTTGGCCTCATACTATCGTGTCCCAATGGTGGTTTAAGTTTCCGATTGTACGGTTATTGGGGTTCAGCGAGCGAATCCTTGTATATCCACGTGTCATCTTCAGCTTTGAAATACTGAAACATTGAGTATGATGAAAATCTGATATTTTCAAACTGTGTCGATCATTACAAAAGTGCCGCAAGAGTCATCTTCTAAACCTGCCAAAGATATAATAACCAACAATTAATTTGCCCCCTAATTTCTATCTAATAGTGCGATTAAAAGACAGCAGCCACAAAAATAAATATTTTAGTAAAGTTAAAAGTAATAACTTACACTAGGCACCCATTCACCTCCCTCGGCTGCTCTAGCCTTGCCCTCATTCCGCTGCCTCTCCTCGTTGGCATGTTTAGCCGCTGTAGCCTTGTCGATATCATTGTTGCGTAGCGATAACGTGACGTCACGCCACAATCGGCGTGATTCGTTTTCTCTCTGTTCGCAAACCGGTTTTACAATCTTGGGCACAACTGACAGTACCTCCGTGTCGATTATTTCCACACTTTTCTGGGAAATGGAGATGTTAATTCGTCTGGTGTTATGCGGCGTGTATCATGTGATGATAAGACAGAGCTCGAAAAAAACCATCGCTATCCCTGTAACATATTGTGTAGTTCATATTTGACATATTTGGAGAGATCGAGATGAGTTGATCACATACAGAGAATTCTGTAACTAATTTTCTTGTAAGTTCTCCGTTATAATACGGGCTATTAATATAATGTCACGTGGTATTTAACCCTGACCACTCCCTCTGCGATTCGTGTGGCGTATAATACTAAACTTTGAAAACAGATTTACAAATAATTAGGACTGCTCAGTACTTACCACCGATTCGTCAGTAAATTTAATTTTGCCGTTCCATTCACCATCCATCTTATACAGACATTTCCCCGTCATGTTATCCTTGATATCTCCAGTAACTCTGTGCATTTTACCCCCATACATAGGTTTAGTGTGAAAGACGAGAGTGGACGTGTAGTCAGTCTGTGGGCACGTGACCTGCACTTTCCCCCCCATCTCCGACCAGGGCACCGTTAATATCGACCTGCCATATGTGCTGGGGAGAGTGAAGTGGTATTTCTCTCCGTGTTCCTGGACATGAATAGTGCCCACTCCCACCATATCCACACCAACACTGATGCCCAGAAATTTAGATTTGGTCCAGACTGCGTAGTTAGCGCATATCTTCTTATCAGGACACTCCGCATAAAAAGCAGAAACTGAGGAGATAAGGCGTAAAGGTACTGTTAATCCTGGATAAAAAACTAGCTTGAAGGGGGAAAAGAAAAACACACAAAATGTATTTAGAAATGAGACTAACCAGGAGGATGATGGGAGACCTGCTCAGCTAGGAATGTAACTTTACCCTTCTGACCGGGAGCAATATGTCTGTCACTAGCGGTACTGGGCGAGTCTACATCCCATTTGCAGTGGAACACTTCCCCTGAAAATATGAGTGTGTTAAAGGGGGGGGTGTCATGTCCGTCTATGTCCGCCTATGTCCTGTCCTTTTTGGATTCTATGAGACAACGGACGTGTTTTTTGGGACATTGGCGGACACGGACGGACATTGGCGGACTCGGACGGACATTGGCGGACTCGGACGGACATTGGCGGACTCGGACGGACATTGGCGGACCCGGACGGACATTGACGGACTTGGATGGACATTGATGGACATTAGCGGACATTGGTGGACATTAGCGGACAAACATTTTGAGGACTGAAGAGTACTGAAGAGTACTGAAGAGTACTGAAGAGTACTGAGGAGGATGGCTGAGGAGGATGACTGAGGAGGATGACTGAGAGGGAGAAGAAGGATCAGGAAGACCCAGGAAGAGGAGGAGGAGGAGGACCCAGAAGGAGGACCTAGGAGGAGGAGGAGGAGAACTGAGGAGGATGACTCAGGAGGAGGAGGACTCAGGAGGAGGACTGAGGAGGACTGAGAAGGAGGAGGACTGAGGAGGATGGCTGAGGAGGATGGCTGAGGAGGATGACTGAGAGGGAGGAGGAGGAGGAAGAGGAGGAAGAAGACTGAGGAGGAGGAGGAGAAGGACTGAGGAGGAGAAGGAGGACCCAGGAGGAGGAGGACCCAGGAGGAGGAGGACCCAGGAGGAGGACCCAGGAAAAGGCCCCAGGAGAAGGAGGAGGACTGGGGAGGAGGAGAACTGTTGAGGACTGATGAGGAGGACTGAGGACGAGGAGGAAGAGTAGGAGGAGGACTGAGGAGGGGCGGAGGAAGAGGACTGGGGAGGACTGAGGAGGAGGACTGACGATGACTGAGAAGGAGGAGGACTGAGGAGTACTGAGGAGGATGGCTGAGGAGGATGGCTGGGGAGGATGGCTGAGGAGGATTACTGAGGAGGATGACTGAGAGGGAGGAGGAGGAGGACTCAGGAGGAGGACTCAGAAGGAAGAGGAGGAGGACTCAGGAGGAGGACTTAGGAGAAATGAGAAGGAGGACTGAGGAGAACTGAGGAGGAGGAGGAGGACCGAATAGGAGGAGGAGAAGGAGGGGGACTGGGAGAGGACTGGGAAGGAGGAGGACTGATGAGAAGGATGAGGAGGAGGACCCAGGAGGAGGAGGAGGACCCAGAAGGAGGACCTAGGAGGAGGAGGAGGAGGAAGACCCAGAAGGAGGACCTAGGAGGAGGAGGAGGAGAACTGAGGAGGATGACTGAGGAGGAGGAGGACTCAGGAGGAGGACTGAGGAGGACTGAGAAGGAGGAGGGCTGAGGAGGATGGCTGAGGAGGATGGCTGAGGAGGATGACTGAGAGGAAGAGGAGGAAGAGGAGGAAGAGGACCGAGGAGGAGGAGGAGAAGGACTGAGGAGGAGAAGGAGGACCCAGGAGGAGGAGGACCTAGGAGGAGGAGGACCCAGGAGGAGGACCCAGGAAAAGGCCCCAGGAGGAGGAGGAGGACTGGGGAGGAGGAGAACTGTTGAGGACTGATGAGGAGGACTGAGGACGAGGAGGAAGAGTAGGAGGAGGAGTGAGGAGGGGAGGAGGAAGAGGACTGGGGAGGATCAGGAAGACCCAGGAGGACCCAGGAGGAGGAGGAGGAGGAGGACCCAGGAGGAGGAGGACTGAGAAGGACTGAGGAGGAGGACTGACGATGACTGAGAAGGAGGAGGACTGAGGAGTACTGAGGAGGATGGCTGAGGAGGATGGCTGGGGAGGATGGCTGAGGAGGATGACTGAGGAGGATGACTGAGAGGGAGGAGGAGGAGGACTCAGGAGGAGGACTCAGAAGGAAAAGGAGGACTCAGGAGGAGGACTCAGGAGGAGGACTTAGGAGAAATGAGAAGGAGGACTGAGGAGAACTGAGGAGGAGGAGGAGGACTGAATAGGAGGAGGAGAAGGAGGGGGACTGGGAGAGGACTGGGGAGGAGGAGGACTGATGAGAAGGATGAGGTGGAGGACCCAGGAGGAGGAGGACTGAGGACCGAGGAGGAAGAGGAGGAGGAGGACCCAGGAGGAGGAGGACTGAGGAGGACTGAGGAGGATGGCTGAGGAGGATGACTGAGAGGGAAGAGGAGGAGGAGGAGGAGGAGGACTGAGGAGGACTGAGAAGGAGGAGGAGGAGGAGGAGGACTGAATAGGAGGAGGAGGGGGACTGGGGGAGGACTGAGGAGGAGGATGGAGGACTGAGGAGAAGGATGAGGAGGAGGACTCAGGAGGAGGAGGAGGACTGGGGAGGAGGAGGACTGTTGAGGACTGATGAGGAGGACTGAGGACGAGGAGGAGGAGTAGGAGGAGGACTGAGGAGGGGAGGAGGAAGAGGACTGAGGAAGATCAGGAAGACCCAGGGGGAGGAGGAGGAAGAGTAGGAGGAGGAAGCATCTAAATGTTATTTCCATTTTTGTCCGTTTTTGTCCATTTTTGTCCGTTTATGTCCGCTCTATTTTTTGTCCGTTTTGAAAATATAGGGTACCGAACGGACAAAAATCATGATCCCCCTATAACAGCAAAAATTGAACATTTTATTTAGCAATTTAGGTGTCCATTAATGTCCGTCTATGTCCGCCTATGTCCGCCAATGTCCGCCTATGTCCGTCTATGTCCGCCTATGTCCTGTCCTTTTTGGATTCTATGAGACAAGCGGACATAGACGGACGTGACACCCCCCCCGTTAAATTTAGTTAAAATTATAGGATGTAAGAATTTGAGGAGTGGGTGGCTGTGTAGAATTTAAAGATTTTACCAGCCGCAAATATGATGAACTGTATATACAGGACTAACCTATGATAGGGTTGTAAGGTTTTTTAGCTAAGGAGCCCTTTCTGCCAGCGTGGAATGAAGTTAGTAACCACTTGGTTGCTCTCAGGATACGCTCCTCAGGTGACTGACCTAAGAATACAGGGAGTTGACATTACAAATATATTGCACGTTACTTGAATATTATATCACAGTAACATCAAAGAAGAATTTCCAATTTCTAATTTAACCTGATCAGAATTGAGCCACATTCTCACAATAAACCTACCATCAGAGATGCTCATGAATATATCAGGGTGAGAGAAACAGTTAGCAAACAATTCCAATAAACTCTTCCTCTCCAGTATGAAGGTAGGGAGCACAACTTTAGTTAGATCCATACCAAGCTTCAGTTGACCTGGGGAGGCGATGCGTAAAATCAATTGAAATTTAATGGGTCATTTAAAGTCTTGATGGGGTGAAGTATAAAGTTGTAGGGTGAACACTAGAAACGTGTAAATTCTTACCAAGAAGCGACATGATAACAGACTTGTGTTCCCCAATATCTGTGTCCCCCTCATCTTCATCCTCATACGCGTCATCGTATGCAGCGCCTTGCTCTGAAAACAAGTTATTTATTGTATTGATGTAGTCCAAATATCTGAACGTTTAGAGAACTGGTGAGGTCAATGTCCCATTAGTTATAGCGAATCAAACTCTATCAAAATACCTAAGATAATAGATATGTATCAACATAACCGAATCAATAGTGTTTCACTTACAATCATCTAATCATTTAATTAATTAATCAAATATTCACTTACCAGGTGTGATGACCGCCTTCTCCCAGTTCAGAGTAACATTACTGCAGGAGATCACTGACCCGCTCCTGTGAACACAACTAAGTTAGTGTTCAAGTCTTGATAAAGCAATAAACATTGGTTAACTGTGAACAGTACTTGAATTATTTAGATAAAAGACTGGTAATTTGCATTCAAGTTGTTCGATTCACAAATCCAAATCATCAAGTAATTACAGCAAAACCACGGATGTTTCCTTTCCCCAAACTCCGCAGTAAATCTGGGTCTTACTGTAGTCTGTACCATTGAAGACACAATTCACTATTACTAACCTGGTTAAGGACGGTTTAGAGGTATCACTAGTTGGTTCCTCAGACCCTACAGAATCAGGAGCTCGGCCAGTGCCGTGCATGTTCATGTTATCCCCTAGTCCATCGTCTTGAGGTGGAATTTTCCTGAAACGACATGACATTAAATCTCAGAAGTGCTGTATGTTCGCAATTAGTTTGTTTCATCCACTGTCATTTATCATATTCTGTCAACTGTAGGAACTTGAGTCTTGGGACAGGAATCATCAAGGTCTTTTAAGGTAAATCAATAAATCAAAACATCTTTGCCCTCCCCCCCCCCCCCGTCTCTCACGCTCGCTCAGTACTTGCCTATCAGTATTGTCATCCTCCACATCTTCTGAAAATTTGAAATGGTCATTTAAATCATACATATTATGTAGATCGTATAATGAATTCTAAATTTTAGTCTTAGATGTTACCTTCTAGGACGCATATTGCAAACGGTTTTATTCCAAAATGTAAGAAAATGAGATCGAGTCACGTAAAGATACAAGTAAAACATACCACGAATTTAGTAACTTCAAGCATAACGAAAATTACAATAACTTAAAATAAGTAGTATAATGACTTTAAATAAACTTAAATAAACTAAAACAAGCTGCAAGCTGCTTGCACTTAACATAAGCCTAAATATGTGCAGTATTTTATTATAATAACCAATCTAAGGACAATAAGTTACACTGGGAGACAGTTAAGTGGGGTAAACCATTATTCTGCAACCGGATAAATTAATTTACCGGAACTTAAATGGTGACAACTTAAAATAAAAAATACAAACTTCTGGGATTTTGTCGATCCGTTTTTAATTTTGTCTGCGGGAAACAATGTCACTTAATTAAATTACAGAGCAACAGACTTACTAAAAAAGGATCGTCATCGAATAAAAGTAACATTCTGGTGCGGCAAATTTTCCTAAAATTGTGGTGATTCCGAACACCTCCACACAAAAACGGTGCCTCTGATTCTTTATAACTATCAAGCAATGAAACAAACACATCTAACAACTGACAGAAAACTGAAGCAAAGAAGACCTTCTCGGAGAGAATCCAAATTACACAACTGAACACTGATAAGTATCCTCATACGTAGAAATGACTGTGTGACGATAATGGGAGAAAACCAGCTAATCATATGTAGTTTAACGAGTCCATCCTATAACCGCTCTATAATAACCGCTCAGTAACCGCTGAGCACACAGAGCGACTACATAACAACCTCACGACACACACAAAGCTAACACCTGATATCAGTCTCAGCCGCTCTCTCTCTCTCTCTCTCTCTGACGCAGAGAGGGAGAGAGAGAGAGAGAGCTGTTTATCAAGGTATTAAAACTAAGGTATTAGAGCTTTAGAGATGGTGTTTAGTAGTAAGGGAGTACGAGAATGCAGAGTAGTGTCGTATGTCGACATGATAATTAAATATCCACCACAATGCGGAGAGCTACAATCTGAGTTTCATGATGTGAGATGTGCAGTGGAAGATTGATTAAACCTGAATTCAAGGTCGGACAGCTGGTTCGAAACTGAAAAGTTCTCTATAGAAAACTTTTCAGTTATAGATAACTTCTTGGAAATTTTTTGTAATTTTGAGGGTTAAACTGCGGAAAATGATTGTGGAAAGAGGTGAAATCTTGTCTACATCAAATGAAAAAATGGCATAAAAACTAATAAGACCAACGACAAATTCGTGTGCTTTCAGCGACAGAAGATTTTGTAATTTTCGTATAAAAAGCAGACCTTTCCTTGAAATTAAATAATGCCTTGCAAGGACTAATGATCGAAATTGTTGAGTTATGAAACCTAACGCACAGTCTAAAAAGGCGTTCGAGCAAATAAGAAATAATAACATGATAATGATAATTACTTTAAAAGAAGCCCTCATATTAACTGACAAGTCCTACTTACAACTATAATCTTAATCACGGAGTAGAACAATCACGGTGTAGACCAATCGCGAGGCAAAGATTCTAACTTTAAAGGAGGTGATTACATCGTTTATAGCACAGATAACGGAAATACACGCAATATTGAACAGAACTCACTCCTGAGGCCAGTGCACCATATATGGCATAATTACCATATATGGTATTACCATATATGGAATAATAAGTTCATCAGCCTTAGACCGACACGCCCTCAAATTATAGGGCTCTATCATAGATAATATCCAATGAAAATGGACCTGTCAATTTCGCCGGAAAGTCAGACCGTCTGCAATAAAAAATAAACCGTTCGACAGAATGGGAATTGTGTTCATTGAACAGGCGTCTAGATTTAAATTTTAATGACCGAATTTTGAACACAACTTATTTTGAGATAGTTGAAAAAGGGTTTTATAAGAATAAGGTCAGACTACGAAGGGTGTTAACTTAAACCTTAAACTAATGTACAATGTACATAATTATTAGTTATTAGTATACGGGCATAACGTGAAGCAGCAATAAAAAAGTAGTGACTGTTGACATATTATGGTAGAAAAACAATTTGAACATTTATGATAAACTTGGCGAGAAGCTGCATGCCAATTGGAAACATTTCAGAAACAAAATGTGGATGAATTCAAATCAAAATTTGTAAGTGGTGCCCAAATGTGTTCAAATTGGTGGTGGCATTTTCGCGGTTGAGCATCAACCAATTATAATACTTTTAAGTGGCAGAACAAAGTTACGAAGCTTTCTCAAAATAAAAATCATCTTTCATGAAAAACCTCCTCAACTGCAAAAATATTGATTTTAAATCCTAAAAAGTTAAGAGGGATTTAAAAAACCGGAGTTTCAGTTTAAGGTTAGACTGTTGGATTCAGATTTACAATAATGACCAAGGTCAATGATATGTATCAGAATTGCAGGTTAACACGTCCTCAAAATCTAAGACATAATAACTTATTTTAAATAAACCTCGTCAGACATAACATCAAGAGTCACACGATAGTGAGTCTGACAAATGCCGCGTTTAATATCGACTCAACGCATCACAAAATAACAAAACACCTATCAGAAGTTACTTGCCAGAGGCACGGAATACAAATACAATCCAGTCGGTCGTCAGATCACGTGACCACGTGACTGAAACCAGCCAATCAGAGGTCAGTATTCGGGACACGTGACAGGAATTATCCCAATTGTAGTAGAGCCGGGCTGATCGGTCCACTAATCTGCTGCAATTAGACTTGTGTCCTATGTACTGTATTACGTCAACTCCTGGGTGCAGTTTTACTGTTCACTGACTGACCCATGCAATGACGTCATCATCATTTCATCGTCTTTTAAACTTGGCCAGTAATTCCCCGCTGAATCGACGAAACTCATAATGAAATGTATTGCTCTAGGTTAAGAAGGTGAAGTGCCCGTGATAATTTTAACAATACCAGTATTAATGTGCGCAGCTTATACACAAGAAATTACGACTCTCAGACGGCTCAGGTTACCCAAACAACTCTGGTAATTCACACAAGTGGACGAGAGAAGGGACAAGCAACAACAGCTGAGCGTAATCATTTTGAGAAAGATTCACTAATCTCCCAAAGTTAAAGAGCAGCGACTGATAGCGTGGTAATCTCATTCTCTCTCTCTCTCTCTCTCTCTCTCTCTCTCTCTCTCTCTCTCTCTCTCTCTCTCTCTCTCTCTCTCTCTCTCTCTCTCTCTCTCTCTCTCTCTCTCTCTCTCTCTCTCTCTCTCTCTCTCTCTCTCTCTCTCTCTCTCTCTCTCTCTCTCTCTCTCTCTCTCTCTCTCTCTCTCTCTCTCTCTCTCTCTCTCTCTCTCTCTCTCTCTCTCTCTCTCTCTCTCTCTCTCTCTCTCTCTCTCTCTCTCTCTCTCTCTCTCTCTCTCTCTCTCTCTCTCTCTCTCTCTCTCTCTCTCTCTCTCTCTCTCTCTCTCTCTCTCTCTCTCTCTCTCTCTCTCTCTCTCTCTCTCTCTCTCTCTCTCTCTCTCTCTCTCTCTCTCTCTCTCTCTCTCTCTCTCTCTCTCTCTCTCTCTCTCTCTCTCTCTCTCTCTCTCTCTCTCTCTCTCTCTCTCTCTCTCTCTCTCTCTCTCTCTCTCTCTCTCTCTCTCTCTCTCTCTCTCTCTCTCTCTCTCTCTCTCTCTCTCTCTCTCTCTCTCTCTCTCTCTCTCTCTCTCTCTCTCTCTCTCTCTCTCTCTCTCTCTCTCTCTCTCTCTCTCCTCTCTCTCTCTCTCTCTCTCTCTCTCTCTCTCTCTCTCTCTCTCTCTCTCTCTCTCTCCAGGGGTAATCAATATGTATTTATTATTAGCCGTAATGACAACGCGTCAAATGACCCATTTCCTATCACATTATCTGCGGTACCGGATCCACATCTGACAGCTGGGAATGAGTGTGGCACAAAATGTCGACTCTTAATTGATCAACACCCCTCACAGTATAAGCAAACTGTATAGCTGAGTAGACGGGTATTTGAGCGAATAAAGAACTCATCAATTATAGGCAGCATCTAAATGGATCAATTAACTGAACTAATTAGACGCTTAAAAGTAAAAGAAATATGTATTCCCCATTAAATAAAGGAGAGATTCCAGGATTAATCTAGAAGAAACCACAAAGTAACATATTCTAGAAGAAACCACAAAGTAACCACAGAGTAACCACAAACAAACCACAAAGTAAGTGTAGGCCACCCAAGTGGAACTGGGAGAGATATTATATTCCATCAGGTAGCACCCGGAAACAGCGTGTTGAATCGTTACATTCCCGGTGGGAGTGAGTAGTGTACTTGTAGATAGTAATTAACTAATTAGCTCTCTTCCAATCTCTACACGTGTAATGAGACTAATTAGTCTGTAATCAGGCTGATAAGTGGGTTATTAGTATCATTAGCGTGTAGGTAGCGTGTTAAACAAGCATCAAACCGTTTTTGTATTTTAAAAGACACACCCTGTTTAAATCTACATGCCCCCTCCGTAGAAGCTGTTTGTGAGCGGGTAGTTATCAATGAGATAATTAGTACCAAACACACTCAACTCAATCAATAAATGTGATATTAATGTCTACCCTTGAGTCAAGATAAGAAAACAAAAATGTTAAAAGTCGGCCACTGAAATATGACAGTTAGGACAGAGGCTCATTACACTATTACAGTGGGGCTGAGTCAATAGTGATATATTGTAAGTGGGAAGAGGGGGTTGCAACTTTAAATACAGATGACTAAGATGGTTACAGGACATTAACATGTTTCGGTAACAGTTGTGGGGTGGGTTACTGTCCGAGGATGGGTGGGGTTGTTTCTGATTATAGTTATGCTTTAACGTTGATAAAAGCATCATTTCGAAACCCAGATGATTCTTCAATTTGTTCAAACTTGGAATAATTGTCATAAAATATTCTGTTT